TGGGTGCCGTTACCGTCTTGCTGGCCCTGATGTCCTGGGTCTTGGGGTGGGCCTGGGAAACTGTTTTTAGAAAAATAGGTTGAAATATAAGTGGAAGGGGAAAGCAAGTTGACCTGTGTTTCTGCAACAGCCTTCTTACAGTCGGCCTCCTCTTTTATCTCACCCTTTTTGTACCCATTCTATAAGGTGGCCGGAGTGATTTTCCTGCAACACACATTCACCACTCCTCTGCTTTAAAACTCATCCCTAAGCTCCCTACTGCCCTCTGTCATTGTTAATTCAGCTGCGTCTCTTTGCCCTCGGGGGCAGTCACAGTCTACAGGGAACCCATATGATAAGCACTTTTCTCAGGGCCAGGACAGTGCCGGGCAGGAAGGGCCCAGTAAGCGACCCATCTCAGTTATATCCAGTGTTTTCTCAAGGGCACGGAAGCAAAGAAAACCATATTTAAAATTTCATTTTGAATTTCTTCTATCTCAATGTCTGCAATATATACACCATGGCAATTTAGGCCACCATGGCACCAGTCCCTTGCTTGCCTCCCTAACCTCCTCTCTCAGCAGTTTCCTCTGCAGAAGCCCACAGCCTCCTTTCCTGCTCCCCAACAGCATATACGGAACTGTGGCATCATTGAGTGTTTACTCGTCGCCCTCACTGACTCTTTTTTTGAGATGGTGTCTCACTCTGTCGCCCAAGTTAGAGTACAGAGGCCGTATCTTGGCTGACTGCAACCTCTGCCTCCTGGGTTCAAGCGATTCTCCTGCCTTAGCCTCCTGAGTTGCTGGGATTACAGGCGCCCACCATCATGCCTGGCGAATTTTTGTATTTTTAGTAGAGATAGGGTTCCACCATGTTGGCCAAGCTGGTCTTGAACTCCTGATCTCAAGTTATCCACCCGACTTAGCCTCCTAAAGTGCTGGGATTACAGGCATGAGCCACCCTGCTCAGCCTCCCCCACTTCCTCCTAAGCACGCAGTTCAGTGAGGGTGGAGACAAGGCCTTGCTTGCTGTAGGAATCCTAGAGTCTAGGACAGTCCTGGGTGTACAAAAGGAGTTCAGTGTAGACTTGGGCTTTGCTCCAGCAAGGAGTGTCAGCAACAGAGTTCTGGACTGGAGGAGAAATAGCTGCTTATTTTAAAAAGAATGAAAGCAGAGGCCCAGAGATTTCCCCTCTATGAATGGCAGAAATTTATATCGTGGGCCTGAAACAATTGCCCAAAGATTGTTCTATTTTCCCAGCCTACCAAAATGCTTTGCATAAAACACTCTGACTTTTGAAAGCTATGTAGCAATAAATTTACACACCGAGAAAGCCCCAAAGCCCTAGAAATAGACTAAAATTAATGAAAGAGTTTATGGTTTAAGAGGGTTGCAGTTGTCACATAATAAGATTGGCTGAGTGTTTACTGTGTGTCAAGTATTCTTCTAAATGCTTGACACGTATCAATTCAATCCTCAAGACAAGGAGGGAGTCACTTTATCATTTCCAGTTTTATAGGTGAGAGATATAGAAATTATGTGATGTGCCAAAAGTTAAACAGCTAGTAAATGGTAAGGCCTGAATTTAAATCTAAGTAAAGTTTCAGAGTCTGTACAGTCACCCATCAATCAAGGAGTCATCAGTCAAAGATCTCATCAAGCATCCTTCTCCAGCAGAGAACCCTTCCGGAGTGGTTCCTCCTGGATGAGAATAAGGTACAAACTCCATACCATGGCATCGCAGGCTTTCAACGTCTTGCCCCTAACTTGGCTCCCCAGCCTGGAGGCTGAATCTCCCTAAGTTCTCTCTGTGCTTCTCTCACCAGATAACTTATCCTTCCCTGCAAAGTGCTACAGACTTTCATGCTTTTCTATCATGCCATTGGCTGTGCCTGGTAAACTCCGACTTTAAATGTGTCCTTCTTTTGACTCTTCTCCTCCAGGCAGAAACAGCCACCTCTTGCTCACATTCCCATGGCAATGAGTGATCTGCACGTACCTCTATCGCATCCTTAGCACATTGCTCTGAAGTTACTGCCGCATGTGTCTGTCCCCCTCATTAGACTGTAGGCTGCTGCGTCTTCTTTTTTTTTTTTTGAGACGGAGTCTTGCTGTGTAGCCCAGGCTGGAGTGCAGTGGTGTGAGCTTGGCTCACTGCAACCTCTGCCTTCTAGGTCCCGGTTCAAGCAATTCTCCTACCTTGGCCTCCTGAGTAGCCTAGGATTACAGGCACGCGCCACCATGCCCAGCTAATTTTTGTATTTTCAGTAGAGATGGGGTTTCACCATGTTGGTCAGCCTGGTCTTGAACTCCTGACTTCATGATCCACCCACCTCAGCCTCCCAAAGTGTTGGGATTACAGGCGTGAGCCACTGTGCCTGGCTGACTGTAGGCTTCTTGAGGAAAGGGATGGTGTCTGGTCTTGAGGCCAGCCTCATCAGGGAGATGAATCCACTGAAACACCAGTCCAATAACCAAAACGTGACGGTAATTTATAATTTGTATAAGTCTGGCAAGTAATGGAGAAGGGAAAATCCCATTTACAATACAGTGAACTTTCTCGAGATATGCGTTTGCTATCTCCCAACCCCATGGCAGTTGCCCCTAAATCAATCTCTCTCAGCTCGCATGCAGAAGCCAGCTGTGTTGAGGTCTTGCCTTTCTTGCTTTGCACACAGTCTCTCCTGCCGGATCTTTTATATCTCTTTAGGCCAGCATCATTCAGTCGCTTCCCGTGTGAACGCAGCCAGCCTGTCCAGTTTCCTCAGTTCCTGGCTAACCATCAACACCACAATCATCCAGGTGCAGAAAACGGGTGGGCGGAGGAAGCTGTGGCTACTAAAGCGTTCATGTTTTCCCCCATCACACCCATCTTTCTGTTCTCGGGAGCTCTTAACTCAGAGCCTGGTATAGGATTGGTGCTCCTGAGAGTGACTTATCTTCCCCTCTCCCTCTCCTTCCTTTTGGGGAAAAGCTCAGATGTGTCCAAGACCTTTCACAACTTGGCCTCAGCATAAGAGTTCTGGGTTTCGAACAGGCAGCCCCACTGCTCCAAGACCAATCTTCCTGCCTCCTTCCCTGCCTCTGCTCTGCCCACTTCTCTCTCCAGGGACTTCCTTGTCCGCAACACCTAAGCGAGTCCAAACACTGCCCTTGTTTCAGTTCTTTGCCTGACATCCTCATTCCCCATCACCTTGTCCGTGAGATCCCCACTGGCTGCAGGGCCATTCATCTTGTTATGCTGCCTGAACCATGACCACGGGCTGGCTTGCTCACAGCGTCTCCAACTGATTTAGTGAATTGCTTTATCTCTTCAACTCGACTGCAAGTTTCTTTCTTGCTTTCTTTACCTTTTTTGTGAGATGGAGTCTCACTCTGTTGCCCAGGCTGGAGTGCAGTGTTGCCATCTCGGCTCACTGCAACCTCCGCCTCCCGGGTTCAAGCAATTCTCCTGCTTCAGGTTCCCGAGTAGCTGGGATTACAGGCATGCACCACCACACCTGGCTATTTTTTGTATTTTTAGTAGAGCAGGGTTTCACCGTGTTGGCCAGGCTGGTCTCAAACTCCTGACCTCAGGTGATTCACCCACCTCGGCCTCACAAAGTGTTGGGATTACAGGCGTGACCCACTGCGCCAGGCCAGACTGCAAGTTTCTTAACACAAACCAAAACAACCCAACTAAAGAACAAAATTAAATCATACCCCCCAACAAGGCATTACTATATTTCAACAAATCTTAGACACATTATAAGAACACATCTGACTTCTGAAAAGTTAACATGTGAAAAGAATGCATCTTAGATGAAATATGGTGTTATTTCTATCCTGCAGATGCTCAATAACTAGAACCGTAACACTTTTCCAGAACCCCTGGCTAAGCTGCTGTGCCCTAACACACCAGGCACACTCTGCCCCGGGATGTTAGCCTTTTTGGTTCCCTGTATCTGGAATGCTCTTCGCGCGTGGCTTGTTCTCACCTCCTTCAGATCTTGGCTCAGACGTCATCTTCTCAGCGAGGCCTCTCTTCACAATGTTTAACGTTGCAACACCCCTCCCCACGTTTCATTCTTTTACACTGATTTTTCTTCACGGCATTTACCTGTCTAATATTCTATTACTTATCTGTTTATTGCAGGTGAACCCCCACTAGAATGTCAGCTCCAGGAGGGCAGGGATTTTGTTTATGGCTGTTGTCCCTGGCACATCGCAGGCAGTCAATAAGTATTGTTGAGTGAACAGAGTCTGAGCTTTACTGGGTCAAGGATGTGTGTGTTTCCTGGCTGCGTGTATCCCCAGTGCCTAACACAGATGCTGGCAAGCAGCGGGTCCTTAATACATACTTAGTGACTGGGGATAGATGAGGCGCCTATGAGCCAGGTCACTTGCTAAGGCCATCAAGGCTAGCAAGGGCGAAGAGCAGGGGACCAACTCAGGTGATGCCTGGGCCTTTTGTCCCTCTGGGCAAGGGCTACCTGTTTGGGGGAAGAAACTTTGGAAAAAATTTCCCCCGGTCTTCCCAGTGCGCAGTGTAATGCTTTGCACGTAGTGTGGCAGCAACAAATATTTATAATGTGTTTTAACCCAGCAGGTTATTGCAACTAGGCCACAGCCGCTTGAGCTCCTCAGGAGTAAACTGGCATGAAGGTGTACCCCGGCCCCTCAGAGAAGTAGTGAACAAACAGCACAAAGCGCGCCCGCCCTTCTACAAAGAGCATTTCCAAAATCCAGGCGGAAGAGCTTTCCTGCAGCTTGGGCACGTTGACCATGACCCCCTCCCGGGCCAGACGACCTCTCCCGCCAACCTTCCCTCCTCTAGATGGGGGACAGGAGGGGAGGGAAGCCCTCCCCTTGAGGACCTCCGCTGCGCGGGAGCCGCCGGGAGGGGTCCCCTCTTGGGTCCCGAGCCCGGCCGGGCGCGCGGGAGCGGGGAGCGCGCGGTGGCTTCGCGCGCGGGGCTGCGCGCGCGCGCCGGCCTCGCCTCCTCGCCTTCTCGCCCGATCCGGAGGCTACGTGCTTTCTTTGTCAATGAGGCGCCGCTCGGAGCTGCGGTAGCACTCGCGGCCCGGGAGCCCCAGCCGGAGCCGGGGCTGGAACCCGAAGCCCAACGAGGCACGAGGAGCGAGGAGCTAGGAGAGCGGGGCGCCGAGGCTGCAGCGGCGGCGGGAGGGAGGGACCCGAGCGCGCCCCGCGGCCGCCACCCCCGTTCCCGGCAGCCTCACCCCCTCGTTCTGCAGGAGCCGGCCCGGGGGAGGGGTCCCCGGGCGGCGCCTGTCCCACCCTCGCCGCCCCAATCGCGCCGGCGCGCGGCGACAGGCACCGTGGGAACCCTGGCCCGTGCCCGCCGCGGTTCCATGCGGGCCCGGCCCCTGCGCGGGTGAAGCCGCGGCTCCACGGAGCCCGCCCCGGGCGCGGCAGGACGAGCGAGCCAGTCGCGCCGCTCGGCGCCCCCTCCCTCCGGCGCCCGGGCCGTGGCCGGCGATGCCCGGTGAGGACCGGGGCGCGGAGGGCTGGGCTTCCCGGCGCGGTGCAGAGCGAGGCAGCGGCCTGGATGTGTGAAGCGTCCCCATGGCTCCGCAGGAGGCCAAGCCTCAGGGCTCAAGGGAAGCCAGGCCCGCGACGCGGGGGCGCGGGGGCCGGCCCGTGGCGCGTGGGCTTGGTCGGGCAGGCTGGGGAGCCGCGCGCTGCACGGGCGTGAGGGGCCCCGGGGCCGGCGCGTCCCACGATGCGCCCCCGCGGCCACCGACGCTGCTGCTGGGACTCCTGCTGCTGGCGGCCCTCCTGGAGCACTGCCAGGCCGACCCGGGTAAGCGCTCGGCGGCGGGGCGTCCGCCGAGGTTTCTGGAAGAGCTGGGCGGCGGGTCGGGACCCACACCTGCCCGGGTGGCGGTGGAGAGGTATTGGCAGCACTGGCTCTGGGATTCTCTCTGCCCTTTGCTGCTGCAACTGCAGGCGAACTGTCAGAAATCCGTCTTTCGGGAAGGCACTTTGGGCGGGGAAGAAGGGCAATCGCCTCTTCTTTTTTGGACAAGTTGTAGAACCTTCCTAGTGGTCCCGCAGGCACGCTTTATTTAGAGAAAGATGTGTGTTTAGGACGCCTTAAACGGGAAATGTATCATTAGAACACGTTTTAGGGTGGCGAAGCCCCTGGTATTTTGGGCTGTTGAGTGTCCACTTTGTCTTAACTGCATGAAATGGCTAGAGAGTTTTAGGCAATCCGCGTGTCGGCTTCCCAAATATCAACACAGTTCCTCCTGTGTTGATAGCGGAACGTTTTTCTTTTGGGAAGGAGGTCTCTCCAATAATTGCTTGCACCTTGCAAAGGGATGCAGGCGCTCGTTAAGTATATAATCCACTGTTTGCAGGTTAGTTAAAAATAGTCATGCTTGGCTTTTAGACTTCAGCAATCCCCAGGAAATAGATTTCTGTAATTCCTTGGACAATTTTGAGAAATCTATTGTAAGTATTCTAGGTGGGGGTGGATTATTCTGCTAAGTGTGCTTCAAAACTTAGTGCAGTAAGCAATTGTCTTGGAAGTAAGAATGATTACTGCCTGCACTTGGAAAGGGCAGGCTTTTGTGTTTGTGATGAAATTCTGAGCTCTTGATACATTGCCTTATCAAGGAATATAGTTCTCACTTCAGATAATGTGTTCCTGTAGTTTTGCATTTTTTAGCAAGGACTAATGACCTCTTCTTTTTCAGAGTGCCCCCTTCTCCCAATTAGATTAAAATTCCTAATTGTAAGGGCCTCACATTGTTTTAGATAAGAGAGTTTTAGGTTAAAAATATTTCTTGTCTTCAGCAGCTTAATTCGGAGCCCATTTTCCTTTGATTGACTCACTTAAAGGGTCACTGACAGGTGGTGCTTGTGCTTGCAAGTTACTGTCAAAGAATTTTCTATTGTGATTATAGTGGTTACAAAGTTCAGGAATCTTTGGATGTGTGCCTCAGACTTGAGAACCTCTGACGAATTTTAGCCCCCGATTTTTATGCCTGTAGCAGTTTTTAGTGATGTGTATTTGGCATAATTGTTAAAAGATAAGACCTGAGAAAGACTCACGTAAATACCTTGGTATTCATTGGCTCAGAAACATACGTCCACGTAAATGCCTTGGTATTCATTGGCTCAGAAACATACATCCTGTTTTTGATTAAAGGATATCAAGTCCTTGGTCGTTTTTGTGAACTGCTTATGAGATATTTACTTTGGGATGATGTTCATTTGTTCAGCCATCTGTAATATGTGAAACTGGCTTTCATGTGTTGTTCCTGTTCAGCCTGATGTTGAGTGATTTCCTTGGATCAGTTTTGAATTTCTGATCTCCCTTCTGACCTTTGTACCTTGAGCCTTCTGAATCTCCCTGACTTTCCTTGGCTCCTCTTTCAGACCACCAGAGCCTGACTTAGGGGACTTCTGATCCACATTGTTTGGGTTTAGCCCTGGTGTCCTCTTTCTTTTTCCTTTCAGTGTGGTGGTCATGGGGATACGGGGCTGGGAAAGATGCTTTGATTACAATGATGGTAAAAATCATTAAAGTTGATGTTCCTCCCCAAAGTCCTCTCCGTTTTACTCCATCTCATCGGAGTGACTCGTTGCTTCCTCTGTGCTTTTTGGATGCCCTTTCTGCTGTCCACCTTTATGACCAGCTTCCCATGGTCCAGCCCACCTGTGGATCCACAGTCCACCTCTGGGCTCCACGGTTTTCTGTGGGTTTGCCACTGATTCAATTCCATGACTCAATGGAAGGGTTAAACACTGGGTTCCCTGTGTGTAACGCTTACCTCTTAACCTCCCACCTGCTCTCATTTGTTCTCTGATTTCCACGTGAGGCAGTTTCACGCCAGGGTAGGTGAGTCCTGGGCCTAATGCAGGGCATCCTAAGGAGTTTGTGGGAAGAAGCAGTGTCAGGAGGGAGGCGGGAGAATGAATGACAATTTCTGGGGACCTTTGACTTTCTGCAAACAGCCTAATTTGGAACTTATTCTGAGGAATCGCTGCGCTTGGGTGCTGCCACTCACTGCAGAATGCGTCCTACCCTGAGCTGAGATCTTACTCAAAGTGCTGGCTTGCTACAGTCCCGTCATTTACATGGCTGCTCTCCCTTGTTGTTTAAGGAAGGCTAAGCCAGACATTTGCCTTGGTTGAAAAATGGGCAAACATAGATTTGTTTCTGGAAAATTCTGTGGCAAATGTTTAGCACCTTCCCGTCCTGGAGACTCTGCAATGTGTTCCCAGTCTACTTCCATCCACCCCACCCCAACCTCTTTTGCTTGAATATTCTAAAGGAATCAGAGTTCCTTCTCTTTTTCACATAAAGAAAAGGCTGTTGTCATCTTCTTTGCCCTCCCTCAGACTCCTAACTTCCATCTCCGTCTTTCATCTTGCTCTCAGTCAGTAAGTTCTGTTTTGGATGCGGGAGGTTGGTGTGGGAAATAAGTTTCTTTGTAGCAGTGAGTACTGACACCCTCTATTCTCCTTGGCCATCCAGGCTCCAGGCAAAATGGTAGCGCTCAAATTTGACTTCACTCTCTTTTTAACTACTGAGCTTCCCTTCAGTTCATGTCAGTAAACATTTACTGTGTGCCTGTTATGTACAGGGATCGTGCTCATCCGTTCATGGGCAGCTACTCAGTGTGACTGTCTGGGTCTCAGTTCTCTCATCTGGAAAATGGCGACAATAATAGTTCCAATCTCACTGGGTTCTTGTGAGGATTACATGAGTTAATGCATCTAAAGCATTTAAAATGCTTGGTATTTTAAATACCAAGTGCTTGGTATACAGTAAGCGCTCAATGAATGCCACCTGCTCTTTTAAAATGGCAGAAATAGATGGAACGTTTACCCTGTCTGGGCGTTGTGCAGGGGCAGGGGATACAGAAGTGAATAAGGACGAGGCAGTTTGTAGAAGCCCCTCAAGAGGAGGGCGATCAAGGCCCTTGCACTCTGTACCGTGTGATCAGAGCTAATGAGGGAATAGTTAATTCTGGGGGCGGGGGGGCCTTGAAGGATGAGTTGGGGGTGGCAGTGTTGATGGTGGCATTTCTGGCAGAAGAAAAGTGAAGGGTTCTTTGTGGTCAGAGCACAGGGCACTGTAGGGAGGAGTCCTCAGCACCCTCTCCGCATGCTGGAGCTTCCCTAGGCCCTCCTTTGCCGCCTGAAGGGCTCTGAGGGACTGTGTGCTTCTCCCTCCGACTTGTTAGTTCCTGATTTACCTTCATTTGCTTATTGCCTGTTACAATACCCAGCGCAGATTAGGAATTTATTAAATTTTCAGTCTCTACACTCCTGTTCCCCCTGTTTCTGTTAGATGTTAGAATAAGATCTCATTTAAATAATTCACAGTAAGTTGTGAAAGACTGCTTTATTACGGGAATATATTTGCATGTTGATAGACGGTTTTGTTGATACCAAAGATTTTCTTCTGGTTACATGGTCAATTTTAGCGTCAGTGCCATATGGTGATGAGAAGAATGTATATTCTGTTGTTTTGGGGTGGAGAGTTCTGTGGATATCTATCAGGTCCTCTTGATCCAGAGTTCAGGTCCTGAATACTTCTGTTAATTTTCTGTCTTGACGATCTGTCTGATATTGTCAGTGGGTGTTAAAGTCCCCCACTATTATTGTGTGTGAGTTTAAGTCTCTTTGCAGGTCTCAAAGAACTTTGTAGATCTCTAAGAGTTTTATGAATATGGGTACCCCTGCATTGGGCACATACGTGTTTAGAATACTTAGCTCTTCTTGTTGAATTGATACCAAAGAATTTCTAATGTAGAACACAGTGTGGGGGGAGATAGTTTTGACCTAGAATGTCCTCCTTGCCCCTCCCCAACCTTCCTGTACACATCGTCAACTTGCAGTCGAGTCTAGAACAGATTCAAGTTCATTTGTTCATTCATTCATTCCTGTATTCAATTTGTTTTGAATGCCTCAATATCCCGAGGTAACAGTAATGAACAAAAACAAGGCCTGTTCTCACCGGGATTAGAGAGAATGGGACCTGGTTTTGTTCATTACTGTTACCTCAGAATATTGAGCCCAGTGCCATCCATATTTGACAGTGCTTACCAGTCATTTGAAGATCTTGTTGAAATGTGGATTCTGATTCAGTAGGTCTGAAATAAGGCCTGAGAGTCTGCATTGTTAACAAGCACTTGAGTAATGCTGACGATGCAAGTTTGTGGACCCCACTTTGAGAAAGAAGTGGCAATAAGCAAATACCTGTAGGTCGGGTGGTGGTCAGTTATATGGAGCAAAATAAATCAGGGTAGGGGATTGTGCCTTCACACATGGACTTGTCTAGATGGAGTGGTGAGAGGAGGCCTCTCTGAGGAGATGGCATTGAGTAGACCCAACAGTGGAAATCTGGGGGAAGAATATTCCAGGCTGTGGGAAAGGCAAGTGCAAAGGCCTTGAGCAGAGACTGTGCTTGGGTTGTTTGAGGAACAGCAGGAATGCCAGTGTAGAATTGAATGAGCAAAGGGAGAGTAGTGAGAAATGATGCTGAAGAGAGAGATGGGGCTGAATCCTATAGGATTTACTGGCCATGGTGTTGGCTTGGTACTTTAGTTGGAATGAGATGGTCCGCCACTGGAGCATCCAAACAGGAGGTGATATAATCTTACTTCGGTTTTAAAGGAATCACCCTGGCTGTTGTGGGGAAAAAAGTCTGTAAGGTCAAGTATGGAAGCCAGGAGATCAGGAAGGAAGCTGTTGTTGAAATCAATCTGCAGATGAAGATGGCTTAGAGAGGGTGGTAGCAGGAGAAGTGGTGAGAAGTGGTTAGATTTTGGACATCTGTTGAAT